CTAACTGATTGTGCCTGTTTGATAAAAAAATTTCAAGCATGATATATCTCCTCATGAATTTGGCATGCTTGCTTCTTTGCCAGCGCAATATGCCCAATATCTTGTAGGTCACCCTTTTCTTTTGTGAAAACAGCTCTGATGTGTCGAGACAGGGACATTTAAGTTCTACAAGTTGTAAGGTGGGACCTCTATGAATCAGATTTGTTGATCATTTAAGTCCTACAAGTTGTAAGGTGGGACCTCTATGAATCAGATTTGTTGATCCAGCACATCCTACAGATGCTCAATCGGATTGAGATGTGGGGAAATTTAGAGACCAAGACCTCTCTTTATCATGTTCCTCAAACCATTCCTGAACAATTTTTGCAGTGTGGCAGGGTGCATTATCTTGATGAAAGAGGCCACTGCCTCTGGAGATCCCACACTTTATTCCCCAGGACTTGAGATCTCCGGATCTCAACTGTCGGCTCACGCAAAGCCGGTGCTATCTGAGTAACGGCTCTGCTCTAAGCCTCCATGGACTGGCGGGGAGATCAAAGATCTACCTCACCGGCCCACAGCAGCATGGAGGGGGGCAGGAGAGGACAGCAGGCAGGAGAGGACAGCAGCTCTGCCAGGTTCCTCTCTCGAGAGCGGCAACGCTCAGATCTCGCGAGAGTTAATTCTAGCCCCGCAGGCTAGAGTTCACTCTCCACTGGACCACCAGGGATGGCACATGGCAGCAAGGATCCCCCCTCTCTACATAAGGTAAAAAGGGAGGGGAGATATTTACTAATCTTCCCCCACCTCCACAATCCCTCCAAACATACAGCACCTACACACATACAGTACCCTCACACACACAGCACACAAACAGCACCCACACACATACAGTACACATAAAGCACCCTGACACACAAAGCACCCTCACACACACACAGCACACAAACAGCACCCTCACACACACACAGCACCCTTACACAGCACACTAACAGGACCCTAACAAACACACACACACACACACACACACACACAAACACCCTCACACACAAACAGCACTCTCACAAACACACAAACACCGTAACCCACATAGCACCCTACCAGCATCCTCACACACAGCACCCTCACACCACACACAGCAGTGTATGTGTGTGTGTATATATATATATGTATATATATATATACACACACACACACACAGTTGCAAGAAAAAGTATGTGAACCCTTTGGAATGATATGGATTTCTGCACAAATTGGTCATAAAATGTAATCTGATCATCATCTAAGTCACAACAATAGACAATCACAGTCTGCTTAAACTAATAACACACAAAGAATTAAATGTTGCCATGTTTTTATTGAACACACCATGTAAACATTCACAGTGCAGGTGGAAAAAGTATGTGAACCCTTGGATTTAAGAACTGGTTGAACCTCCTTTGGCTGCAATAACTTCAACCAAACGTTTCCTGTAGTTGCAGATCAGATGTGCACAACGGTCAGGAGTAATTCTTGACCATTCCTCTTTACAGAACTGTTTCAGTTCAGCAATATTCTTGGGATGTCTGGTGTGAATTGCTTTCTTGAGGTCATGCCACAGCATCTCAATCCGGTTGAGTTCAGGACGCTGACCGGGCCACTTCAGAAGGTGTATTTTCTTCTGTTTAAGCCATTCTGTTGCTTTGAATCATTGTCCTGTTGCAACACCCATCTTCTGTTGAGCTTCAGCTGGTAGACAGATGGCCTTAAGTTCTCCTGCAAAATGTCTTGATAAACTTGGGAATTAATTTTGCCTTCGATGATAGCAATCCGTCCAGGCCCTAACGCAGCAAAGCAGCCCCAAACCATGATGCCCCCACCACCATATTTCACAGTTGGGATAAGGTTTTGATGTTGGTGTGCTGTGCCTTTTTTTCTCCACACATAGTGTTGTGTGTTTCTTCCAAACAACTCAACTTTGGTTTCATATGTCCACAGAATATATTGCCAGTACTGCTGTGGAACATCCAGGTGCTCTTGTGCAAACTGTAAATGTGCAGCAATGTTTTGTTTGGACAGCAGTGGCTTCCTCTGTAGTATCCTCCCATAAAATCCATTCTTGTTTAGTGTTTTACGTATTGTAGATTCGCTAACAGGGATGTTAGCATTTGCCAGTGACTTTTGTAAGTCTTTAGCTGACACTAGGATTCTTCTTCACCTTATTGAGCAGTCTGCACTGTGCTCTTGCAGTCATCTTTACAAGACGGCCACTCCTAGGGAGAGTAGCAGCAGTGCTGAACTTTCTCCATTTATAGACAATTTGTCTTACCGTGGACTGATGAACAGCAAGGCTTTTGGAGATACTTTTATAACCCTTTTCCAGCTTTATGCAAGTCAACAATTCTTAATCGTAGGTCTTCTGAGAGCTCTTTTGTGCGAGGCATCATTCACATCAGGCAATGCTTCTTGTGAAAAGCAAACCCAGAACTGGTGTGTGTTTTTATAGGGCAGGGCAGCTGTAACCAACACCTCCAATCTCATCTCATTGATTGGACTCCAGTTGGCTGACATCTCACTCCAATTAGCTCTTGGAGATGTCATTAGTCTAGGGGTTCACATACTTTTTCAACCTGCACTGTGGATGTTTACATGGTGTGTTCAATAAAAACATTGCAACATTTCATTCTTTGTGTGTTATTAGTTTAAGCAGACTGTGATTATCTATTGTTGTGACTTAGATGATGATCAGATCACATTTTATGATCAATTTGTGCAGAAATCCATATCATTCCAAAGGGTTCACATACTTTTCTTGCAACTGTATATATATACATACATATACATGCGGCGTGTGTTTGTGCTTTAGGGTGCACACCCTAATGCAATAGGCTGCACACGCCTGTGCTGACACTATAGTGATCCTTTAACAACTGACTGTTCACTTGATACCTAATGTATCCCACCCCTTGACAGGTGTCATTTTAACAATATAATCCATGTTGTTCACTTCACCTGCCAGTGGTTTTATATTGTCACTGATCAGTGCAAATTCCTCTAGCAAAACAAAAGACATGATTCCTTCAGGAATAATGACAGCTGCTGTTCAATGGAGAACCATTAATAGGAGCGTACTCCTGCTTTCTCCTGTCGCTCAAATCTAAGCCTATAGATTTGAGTGAGAGTATGGAACGTTTAATAGGATTGTAAGAAGTACACGTCTTAACAGTTCTGCTATCACAATATATGGTCTGTATTTTATAATCTATCATTTAAAAAAATAAGTTGTGTGTATGATGACATGTACACTATTTCATTCCTCATGGCAACAGGCTATTGCTATTTAACTTGCATCATCTAAGGTTAGAGTGCTTTATTATATGTATATTTCTCTGCAATAAAATTCGACTGAAATGTCCTGGGCTATGTCAACATAATATTAACTGAATGCTTATCTGCCTATGAGCAACCCAATAACCATGTGAAAACATTCAATTATAATCTCTACAAAAAGGGCAATAGTCCTGGTATAAGGACAATGGGTCTTTTTATGGGCTGTTTTATTATCATTTTGAGTCAAGTTCATCAATTCATCCCAGTTTTTAGGTAGTCATTTATTTTGTGCACAGCTGTTAAGGCATTATAAGCCAAATACATGACTGGCCCCGGGTCTTGCACTCCCAGGTGTTTCTGGAAACCTGAAAAATTTAAAGAATTATAATATTTTCATTCCTGCTATTCAGTGTCTGTTAAAGCTCCGGCAATGAGCAGTAGTCTTTAAACCTAGCTATTCATTTTTGATAAGAAAAAGCTCTTGACAGATGTTAAAGGAGCCCTGAGGCCAAGAATGGTTAAGTTCAGACATAAAAGTTCTCAGTAGAATGCGTTCTAGTTTCTATGGATTTGTACATTACTGGAAATGTTAGAAATGTTACCAAGTAACAAGGGGTCTTGGAAATAAAACTGTTCCTAGTAGATAGAATAATAGAATTGTATGGTTAGATCATTTCCGCATGAAACCTGAATCTAGACAACGTGTGTAGGGTTCTTTCAATAAGATAATTGCTGATGCATTGGCCACAATGGTTGGTTTTCATTGGCTGGTTTACATTCAAATGTTTGTGTCTGCTGACTTCGGAAGCTTATCACCATTAGAAGTAGCTATCTCTTTGCATTCCAGCAACCTCTATCAGCATTGGTTGAACCAGCCAACATTAGTGGTTCCATTGGCAGTTATACCATCAGGAATTTTATGCCACAGTTTGAATTTATCTCTTTGGACTACAGATTCGCTGCCAACCAACTCGCCAAAATTGTAGGAAGCACTGACGTCAGCAGAGGTGTTTCTCTTAAAAATATTTTTAGCAACATCATTCCATGTGCTGACAAGCTGAGGCTGTTTTAAAACCAATAGGGGTACAACTCAATCTTACGAAGTGTTATTTATATCTTGTACCTAAATATTGATAGATTGCACTACCACTTAAACATCAAATTCTATGGAGACTATTTTATGTAACCAGTACTTTCTGTTGTGTATTTGGAATGTAACCTCTGATACGTAGTTTAAAAACCCCTCCCAGTGACAACATTTTAATCAGGGCTCGAGTCCTGCAGGAACGCATGGGAACGGCGTTCCTGCACTTTTTCCAAAGCAGGAACGCCGTTCCCGTTACCTGTCCTGCAGGACCGGCCCTGCTACCTGCACAGAGGGTCCAGTACACGCTGTGTTCCCTCTCCAGCTATAACTCTCGCGAGACCCGCGGCTGTTACCATGGCAACGCTCCGCACAGGCGAGTCTCGCGAGAGTTAGAGCTGGAGAGGGAACACTGCGTGTCATGGCCCCTCTGTGCAGCGGCTGGCTCCCTCCAGCATACCACCGGACCACCAGGCGATCTCCCCCCTCCCTGACAAGGTAAGAAGCAGGGAGGGGGGAATAAAATAAAAATATATACATACACATAAAGTAAGAAAAAAATGCTCCCCCCCCCCATCATCCAGCACTCACACACCCATCATCCAGCACTCACACACACATCATCCAGCACTCACACACCCATCATCCAGCATTCACACACACACATCATCCAGCATTCACACACACATCATCCAGCACTCACACACCCATCATCCAGCACACACAAACACCCATCATCCAGCACTCACACACCCATCATCCAGCACTCACACACCCATCATCCAGCACTCACACACCCATCATCCAGCATTCACACACACACATCATCCAGCACTCACACACCCATCATCCAGCATTCACACACCCATCATCCAGCATTCACACACACACATCATCCAGCACTCACACACCCATCATCCAGCACTTACACGCACACCCATCATCCA